CATGGAATACTATGCAGCCATAAAAAAGGATGAGTTCATGTCCTTTGCAGGGACATGGATGAAGCTAAAAACCATCATTCTCAGCAAACTAACACAGGAACAGAAAACCAAACACTGCATGTTCTCACTCATAAGTGGGAGTTGAACAATGGGAACACATGGACACAGGGAGGGGAACACCACACACTGGGGCCTGTCAGGGGATGGGACAGATAGCATTAGGAGAAGTACCTAATGTAGATGACCGGTTGATGGATGCAGGAAACCACCATGGCATGTGTATACCTGTGTAACAAACCTGCGTGTTCTACACATGTATCCCAGAACTTAAAGTATAATTTTAAAAAATTAACTTCTGTATTTCAGAACTCAAACATTCATCAAAGACTCGCCCCAGATCCCAGATGATGCCAGGTGCAGTAATGGCTCACAGAGCTGAGCTCACCCGCAGTGTGGGACAGAAGGCTGGCAGGAATTACAGAGCTGTAGCTGCTCCAGTGGGGTGGCAGGGGCTTCTTGGAAGCAAGCGGGACAAGCACTAAACCAGCTTTGGGGATGGAACAAAATGTCTACAAGTAAATCATTTAATATTTCTTTTTTGGACATCTTCACACTATTTTTCTTAAGGTTTACTGAGTGTTATGAGTGGTACAAAGCTCAAAAATGGCAAGGATCGCATCCAAACGGAAGACTGGCCTAGTGGCCCATCCCTCCTCCCTGCAGCATAATTGAGAGGGCTTGGCTATTCAAAAGATATTCAAGGCACGGAACCTTCTACACCCCATGTAAAACCAACCCTGAGCTAATCAGAGGCCACCCAGCTGGAGGTCTCCTTTCCTCAGCTCTGTTCTCTCCGACCCACTGTGAGGACAGTATCTCGGAAAAACTGCCACACTGTGTACTTCTCTGCATTCTGCATTGTGCATTTACTAGGAATGCACACATCTGGAATTCTTGAGCAACTGAAAATGCACCTACAAAGTCCAAAAAGGGAAGACAAGTTAAGCCTTTTTTAAAAGCTTTGTACTGAAAATAAACACTCCTATCATAACTTAAGGCTTGAAGACGAAAGGAAGCTAGCAGCAGGAATTCATTTGAAAGTCTGTTTTCTGAAGCCAGTGCCAGTGGATAATAAAGTCAAAAACCCAACATGACTTCATAGGCTCTAAAATGCAGGTAATTTAAACAATCCACAAGGATTGTGCTTTCTTCTCCTACCATGTCACCTTCAAAATCACTTCTTTTTTTTTTTTTAAGATGGGGTTTCACCATCATGGCCAGGCTGGTCTTGAACTCCTGACCTCAGGTGTCCACCCACCTCGGCCTCCCAAAGTGCTAGGATTACAGGAGTGAGCCACCGCGCCTGGCCCCAAAATCACTTCTAAATCTACTAAATCTAAATCTAATATTAAATTATAAATCAGTTCGTACTCACTTAACCGGTGGCATTACAGTAAGTTGGCTCTTTTCCAAACAGTCACATCTTGAAATGTCGAGCTATATTCTCTTACACCGGCCTCCACAAACTTGTTTCTTCTCATGTTTTCCCCTCTAGCTCTCCCTGAAGGCTTCATATCCTCTACAGGGAGCATGAAAGAGAGAGATGGAGATATTGGGGGTGAGAGGGAAGTGAGAAAGAGAACAGAAGAATGAGAAGGAAAGAGAGAGGAGGAGAGAAAGAAAAAAAGGAAGGAAGAAAGGAAGGAAGGAAGAAGTTGTCTATGTTGAGGCCTGTCCTTAATAAACTTCTGCCTGTCCAGCAGATTGTTCTCCTCTAAAGCTGTCCAATGCTGGGCCCGACAAAAGAACACAAATCCCTTCTCCAGACCCATTGGCAGCTTCTACACTGGATGTCTACATAAAAGGGGAGCGATGTTTTTCTGTTTTAGTGGGATGTTGTGGAAAACATACTGTCATGAATTATAAATTGCCTCAACTTCATTTGGTTCATCAGCTTCTGGCTTTGAGCTACAAATCACAGGTCCCGGAGCAGCCACCCATCACCCAAACCCAAGGTCAGTCACAATAGATGTGTAACTGTGTATTAATAAAACACCCAATGAAGAACCAAAGTATTAGCCAGTCACCATTAAATAGTATCATCCACAGGAAATTAAACATTTTTACTTGTGGTATACCCACTGGAAATGCTCACAAATAACTAAGGCTCCTGATGCATTTGCTTTGGATATAGCACCATTTCCAGTTGAAAATCCAGTGAAAAGCACTTTTGTAATGGGTATAAGCCCTTGATTCAGGGATGCTTTATTTACAATTGGATTTACCTGGTAAATTCAAAAATTGTAAAATAAAACACTGTAGCATTTTCACCAAGATGACAAACATAACTAGTTTCGTTTTAGGCCTTTCCTGCTGTATCTTTCCCCAGATGTCTATTTCAGAAAAGTTTTATATCCAGATTTTTTTATATCATTCATATTATAAGAAGTTGCAAAGCTATATAAAAGCTACTTCTAGAGCAGCCACCATATCCATGGGTTAGGAGTAGAGAATAATAGAAATTCTGTCACTCATCACTGCACTTTCTTCTAACACAGAAAACGTAATTTTGTCACAGATAATGAGCACCCCCATGGCCATGGGTACTGATTATATAATCATGAGCATTTATGTCTTCAATATCGAGTTAGTAATTTTTGAAGACACAATTCTCAAATTTGCAGAAGCTGGCTTCACTTGTTCAGAGGAAGACATTGATGATGAGTGCTTTTTCCCAGTGGGAAAAAGATTTGCTTATTACTGTCATTATTATTATCATTAAAAGGTTGATGACTCATGAATTCTTACTGTTATTTTTGTGAATTGTATTCTTGATATTAATGAATATGGATACTTCTGGAAAGTGACAGCAACACATCCAAATGTTTTCCAAGTTTCCTCATGACAAGGAAGAGAAGGATGGGGACTCACAGGGCTGGGTAAGTACAGACAGCTCTGAGCATGTTTATGAATCAAAAGGGTCAGCAGAGAGGGGGCTGTAGAAAATATAAGAAGAAAGAAAATTGATAGAAACAGGACCAGGGGCAAGTGACAGATTCGCTTATTATTTTTTCCCAATGGGGAAAAAGGCACTCATCATCAGTGTCTTCCTCTGAACAAGTCAATATTCATATTTTGCAATGAAGCCAAAGCCAAGAGTTTTATGACTGCTGCTCTTGCACCGTAGAATGAGAAAACCAGCAAGGACTACCAAACGTGAGGGAATAATTGGTACCAGAATGCACTCATTGAAATGGGTAAGCTCCCAGGCAGGTTTCATCTGCAAAGGCAAAAACATTCTTCTGTCTCTGAAGTTAGCTACCACCACAGTTTCCATGAAACTTGCTTCAGAACAGAACTTTTGGAAACTACAAATGTTTTTAATTCTCAAGGAAAGATAGACAAAACTCAATCCGAGTAACTTTGTTATTGGCTTGGCAAACGGTTGCTATGTGAATTGGTCATTTTCAACAGCTTAAAAAAATCCTAGACTAGCTTCCTCCTGGTATTCTGCACACATTATGTTCCCTTTGGGTGGCAAATGTCACATGCATTCCTCCTAGTATTACTAGTTCGTGAGTGATTTCCTAAGTTTACCTAGTGCTTACCATATAAGGTGGCCATGATGGAAGGAGGTGCACAGATCACCCATTATGGACTAAATTGTGTGGTTCCCCCCATTCATACATTCAACCCCCAATGTTACTGTATTTGGAGACAGGTTCTTCGTGAGGTAATTAAGATAAAATGAAGTCATAAGCGTGGCTCGAATCTGACCGGACTGGTGTTCTCATAAGAAGATACACCAAACACATGCAGAGCTTTCTCTCTCTGCTTGCAGGAGCTGTGGAAGGGCCATGTGAGGACGCAGAGAAAAGGCAGCTGACTGCAAGCCAGGAAGGAAGCTCTTACTAGAAATGGAATTTGTTGGCACCATGATCTTGGACTTCCAACCTCCAGAACAGGAGAATATAAATGTCTGTTATTTCAGTCACCCCGTCCGTGGTATTTTGCTATGGCAGCGGAGCTGACGAATACATCCAGGCTACGCTGTGACTGTTGTGGTCCAAGCGGTGTCCACAATGCACAGCATGTACAACTATGGCCCTACGATCTCTCATATACACATTCAGCATGATGTTCATAACCCCCCCATGGGCCACCACCGTGACGTAGAATAAGTTAGATAAAACCCATCACTTCTTAGCCACCTGGTCTTGAGCAAAGCCCTCAATTCCTCTAGAGCCGCAGTTTCCTCCTGTTATAAATGTTTGTTAAGCCGGTTAAATCTAGCCTCTCCACCAAATTTAATAAGATTCAGAACTGTTCATCATTTTTCATCCACCATGAAGAAACTCATTGCATGAGTGTTTGCATGTGTATGACAATTTCTAAGTGTTCAAAAGGAATATTGTGTCGGTTTCATTAATTAAAGAGTAAAATACTATTTTAAAATGTCTGTTATCATTGTGGTGAGAATTTTTCTGCCTTCATGCCTGCAAATGTCACTGCTTACCCTTCTGGTGGATTGATCAGTGAGTCACTCACTGGTGACACCTCCGTCACTAGGCAAGAGGCTAAAGCTAACCTCTAGATAGTGGAGGCTTCCTGGAAATCTCTTTGGGTCATCCTAAGTCTGCTTTTGTCAATAGTTCCAGAAAAGTAGACACAGAGTTCATGGATCATATTCATTAATATCAATAATAGAATTCACAGAAATAACAGTCAATAAGAATTCACGAGGCATCAACCTGTTAACAGTAATAATAATGGTAATCATAATAGCTCAGATAGATGGAGACTAATTTTGGGAAGCCCCTGACAAAATGCATTATCTCAGTAACCCTTTGGGTAGATACCATTATCTGCAGTATATAGGGAGGAAACTGAGGCACAGAAAGGCTAAATAACTTACCCAAGGGCCTATGGCAGGAAGTGGCAGAGTAGGTTTGAAATGCTCCAGGGGACTTGACTGCTATGCTGTGCTGTCTCCACTGCAGGATCCCTAATGCCTGTCATCTGGGTCATGGGCTTTAGTTCAAGCAAGTCTCCCTCCTACCCTCTGTGGTAAGTACCACCACCAAAGGGATCTGATGTTGGGGATGTTCCCACGTACTTCTAAATGATACACAATTGTTATTTCCATTCACAGAAATCCTCCTGAAATCATTCTGCTGTATAAAATCTGTATGTTCCTAATTTAAAAATATACAAAACACCCTTCCAAGTCATTTGAATTAACACTAGTATTAAGGAAGACAGTCTATAACCAGCCTCCTGGAAAGACAGAATGTCATCTCCTCAAGTCTAAGTGCTGTGTAATCATTAATCTACAAAACAAATGGAGATATTACCTGTTCTGCAAATAGCAGAACCAATCAAAATTCCTAGAGGCTGCCAAGGGAACCAATCATGCAGAGAAACTGCTTTCTGCTTCTCTCTGGAAAGCCCTGGCTGTTTCCAGACCCTAAAACTCATTATTCCCCTGCAGGGGAACAGCAGACTCCAATAGCTAGTTGCTTCTAGAAAGTGGCAGCAACACATCTAAGTGTCTTCAAAGTTTGCTCATGACAAGGAAGGCAAGGATGGGGACTCACGGGGTGGGAAGTAAAGAAAGCTTTGAGCATGTTTATGGACCAAGAGGGTCAGCAGAGAGAGAAAGCAGTAGTAAATATAAGGAGAGAAAAAAAATTGATAGAAACAGATCCAGGGGCAAGTGAAAGATTTGCTCCAGTGAAATTAACATGAATATACATGGAGATGGGGAACAGCATTTAATTTTTAGAGACAAGAAGGAAGATGAGTAGAAATGCAGTTTTTTAGGTAGAGAAAGGTATTTGTGTCCACTGGCCTCAATTTCCTCAGAAAAGTGTGAGAGGGGTGAGGTTTGAATGAAGGAGGCTTGAGGAAGATGGAAAACGTTTAGAATCAAGAGTCAATTGGAAAGGGTTAAAAGGATTTCCAAGTAGAAGGGACTGTGGCATTAAGCTAAAATGGCATAGTTTATAGTGGACTGTTTCCAGAGCAGAGGACACGGGGTTTAGTCCATTGCTACTGAGTTGGGTCAAGCCCTTAGATAACGGGCTTCTGCCTGACTGTCAGGCTGAAACCTACCCTTCTGTGATTTATCCAGGCTTCTGTGTTCTACCTATCCTCTGCTTGCAAGGATCCAAGGTCCTTATCATGATACACAGGCCTTTTCCTAACTGGCCCCCATTTATGTCTCCATCATTAGATTTTCTCTTCTGCCACATTGAACTTAATTGTAGTTCCTCCAGAGCCTCAGGCCCTTTCAGTGCTGCTGGGCCTTGACCAAAGGATTCCCCTGAAATATTTTTCTTTTTAAATAAAATAACATGGATTTTTTTTAAAAAGGCTGCCTCCTCTGAGAAGCCTTCCAGGGTCACCTTAGGTAAAACTTATCATTCAGTCTCTCCTTTTGCCAGCTTTATCTATGCTCTGTATGTGCTACTAACATCATTAGTCACTTCATATTTCAGCTATTTTTAAATGCACTTTTATTCATGTTTTTAAAAAATTCCCTAAAATAAGCCAGATGTGGTGGCACATATTTGTAGTTGCTCAGGAAGCTGAGGCAGGAGGATCAATTGAGCCCAGGGCTTGAGGCTGTAGTGTTATGATCACACCTGTGAATGGCTGCTGTACTGCACCATGGCAACCCAGGTAAACCCTATCTCAAAAAACAAAATCCCTTAAATTATCATGCAGCTTATAATCAATGGTGCATCATAGTTTAATTGACAAGATTTAAAAAATTTTTGGATGATACTGAAAAAAAAAGTACATCTTACATTGGAGAGCATTTGGTGAAACGCAGCTTCATTTTCTAACTTTCTAAAGTGAGTGTGGAAGTATTTCTCAGCTGGGCGTAGTGGCTCATGCCTGTAATCCCAGCACTTTGCGGGGCTGAGGCAGGCAGATCCTGAAGTCAGGAGTTCAAGACCAGACTGGCCAACATGGTGAAACCCCGTCTCTACTAAAAAATACAAAATTTAGCTGGGCACGGTGGCTTGTGCCTGTAATCCCAGCTACTTGGGAGGCTGAAGTAGGAGACTTGCTTGAACTGGGACCGGGCGGTGGAAGTTGCAATGAGCCAAGATCGCACCACTGCACTCCAGCCTCAGCTACAGAGCGAGACTCCATCTCAAAAAAAAAAAAAAGAAGTGCTTCTCATATTGCCTCCCACCCCACCCACGCCGCCACCCTTGGCAGTGTCTGGAGACATTTTTAGCTGTGTCAACTTGCAGGGAGGAATGGCTGCTGTCATCTAACAGGCAGAGACTAGAGATCCTGCTAAACGTCCTATAATACACAGGACAACCCCCGACCACAAAGAATTAGCCAGGCCAAAATGTGAGTAGTACAGAGACTGAGAAACCCTGATGTAGAGAATCAATACCTATTGGGTATATAATAGGCTTTATTATGTTTAATTTTAAATAAATATTTTACAGTGTATAGTGCAACTTAATATATAGTAACTTTTTCCAAACCTTGACTTGCACAGAACAGCAATTCTTGAGACATACTCTAAGCTCTCTTCATCACCCCTGCCCGGCTCCCTTCTGCTAGATGCCTCAGGGGAATCAATACAGCAATGCTCCTGGTCAAAATCTGAAAGCCAGAAGGTCTCAGAGAGTTTTGTGACCTTAAACCAATTAAGTTAGTTAATGGCAAGTCCAGGACTGAAACCCAGACCCCCAGATTTCTGCAATTTCACTCAGGCTGGGAGGCAGCTGCTCCGTTCCCGGGCTAAATTGGCTAACACAGTTTGGTACCTTAAGAGGAAATGTGCCCTGCCTATGAGCTGGGTGACTTAGCAAGAGTTTAGCATTAGTATTTACGCTTCAACACCCGGGACTCACCCGGCTCTCACCCCACTTTATGAGAATTTAGGTTGACTCTGTAAGACCCCTCAGCTCTGTGGGGAATTGGATTCATGCAAAAAATAATTGTGATTCATGAATGTGAAGGAACTTTAAATAAATGTAGATGATTTCATCATACAAAAGGCAAAAGGGTAGTAAGTGTATTTAAGGCTCTGGAGGAAGCGTTATTAATTTGGAAAGGGGGTGCAGGGAGCAGTCCTCTATCCCTGCAAGCTGCACGTGTGGAAAGGACCTTTCTAGTGCAGGAAGCTGATTTATGTGAGAAAGGAAGGAGTTCCAGGAGGAGGTTTTGGCAAGGCCGTCCCCAAATCTCGGTTCTGCAGCCAGGCAGGCCTCAGGTGAATCTGGGGCTCCCTGCCCCTCCTACTGAGTCCCCAGAGTGTCCCCCGTCCCCTTCCTTCTCCCACTCGGGCTGAATCGCAGTGAGCAGCAGTGCTTGGGATCCTGCGACCCACCCATCGCCATCCCAGCAGCCCCGCCCTTGGAGCACGGGGGTGCACCCTGCACGCCAGAGGGGATGGCCGGGGCCAGACTACTAACCTTCAGGTGGATGGGAAAAGACCGCTCCTGCTGAAGAGGTTCCAGCAGCGTCTGCTCCACGCTGACCAGCTCCGATGTCGAGTCCACCACGCGGGCCAGCGCGCTGCGCATCGCCATCCGGGCCAGGGTGCAGGGTCCGTGGTCCCGGGGGAAGGGCAGTAGCTCAGCGCTCCCGTCCGCGCCCCGCACCACCTCCTCCTCTGGGGAGCTCGCAAGCGCCCCGGTCCCCCGATTCCTGGCCCCCACGCCCCCGCCCCGCTCCTCGCGCCCGGGCCCGGGCCAGGCCCGCAGCCTGCCTGAGCGACGGACTGGGGCGGTGGACACGTGGTCCGGGTCCCGCGGGTTCCCGGGGGCGCCCGGACCGTCGCCCCAGCCCCACTCCTGCTGCAGCAGCTGCAAGGTCTGCAGGGCCACCATTTGGTGGCCAATGGAGGCCACTAAGGGCGCGGGGCTGGCCATCGCCTCCGCTGGCGGCTCGGCGCCCTCCGCTTGCAGGTGGACCAGCAGCGAGGGAGGCGGGAGCGCTGGGGTCGCCAGGGTCACATTTTCTAACCCGCACCCCTCAGCCTCCGAGTCTCACAACGTGTGTGGTCGGCCCCGCCCCCGGCTTGGAATCCGTGACCGCGCTGGCCTCTGCCTTCGCCTAAACTCCGAATCGGCGTGTTCTGACCCAAAGCTGCCTGACGCGCTGCTTGGTGTGCACTTGAAAATCAGCGAAATGCTGGTCGCTGGTTCTTCCCCTCTCTTCAGGGCTTTGATGAGAAAACGTGCTGCTTTGTGCGGGTGCATCTATCGGTGGGATACCCCGCCCCCACCTCCTTCGAAGGACTTCTGCCAGTGACCACTGAGACCTGGGAGGTGGGGGTGCAAAAGACCCGCCCTAGGGCGAAAGTACCAAGAACTCTAGAAAAACTTGCAAAGGGAAGACTAAGCCTTTCCTAACCCGAGGGGAATTTTCAGAAACTTGTTGAAGCAGCCTTCAAGGCCTTGCATTCCCCAAACAAAAGAAGGAGGACTTGTGTGTCTGGAAGTTCTGCTCTTCTCTGCTTTCTTTGCTCCGTGCCACTTGAGCACCAGAGCCTGGTGAATGAACCAGCACCAGCAAGCCCCAGGGCCCAGGCCTGGCACTGCCCAGAAAAGCCTAAATGGTTTTGTGTGACACTCCCCAAAAACTTAGGCACCAAGGTTGAAGTTAATCCTTTTGTGAGCCATGAACTCAGGGACAGCTGTACAAATAGTTGCTGTTTTTAATTAAACCCAACGTGGCTACTTCCTTCACTTAGAAAAAAGAGACTGGCAATGTTATGCTTTGATAGATTCGAAACCATGGGTGTATGATCACACTAATAAAACAGAAGATATTTGAGAGGAGCGGTATGGAGGCCCAGTCCAGAACAGCCTCATTCCTGCTTGCTTTCTGCAGGGAAAACCATTAGATGACCCAATAGCCCAGTAGAGCTGGGGCAATGGTGCATGCCCATGACAGACAGGTAGGCCCTGGCAGACGGAGGATGGAATTTCATTCCTCCTTTAGGAGCCAAACTCCACCCTTGGTGCTGTGGAGATCTGGAGAGGCCTTTGAGTGAAAAGTCCACTCTGGTTAGTCTGTGAGCACAAAAGGATCATCAGAAGAGATACGGAGAGGGATATGGGGTCCTTTAAGGTTTCTTTAACTCTGGGATAGTATGACCCCGTATAATCCTCCCAACTTGCCAGCAAAGGTTCCTTCTCCTTCCCAGTGTTTTCTTTGCCTATGAAAACAAATCTGAATGCCAAGGTAAAGAAAACCTTTCTTAAACAAAAACGAGTATGTTCACACTAATTATAACTAAGTAAAAATGCATGTCTGTGCATTGACAGAAAGGAAATTACTTTGGAGGGAAGTAAATAGTTTAACGTTGATTAGATTTTCTTGCCATGAAGTTTCTTAAGTTCATAATAAAAAATTGAAAGAGAAATTTTTCTTCTTTTAAAAAAATCCTCAAATGTTGAAATATATTAGGTTCAGCAGAGACTAACCAGCAATAGCAAAATGAACCCCTAATTTTCACAAAACATGTCAGATCTCCAGGGCTGCCTTTCCTTCCAGATACACAGGAAATTCAGTTTCATGGGCTAACCCTTCCACTATCAAATGGCTGACTGCAAAACTTTCTTGACAGATGGAATTTCAGCCAACAGCAAAATTGAAATCACTAGACACAGGATGACCTGAGGCCCCACTCTTCTACACACCAGGCTGAGTCAAAGCCATGAGGCCAACTGAACCACAGGGGGTCTGACAGAAGGGTGCCAGAAAACCTTGGGGCCTGAGGGATGGTACATGCTACTTAAATAGCTGCCTGCTTTTTCTAGTATCCTTAGGAAGCCTGGATCATCCAGCAACTGAGTGCTTTGTCTGTCTTGGCCATGGGTCACACTGTCTTTTCCTATGACCTCCAAATGGCTTATGTTCCCAAACTAGAGATATGAGAACCTAACTCAGGAAAAGCTTTCATAGAATATTTAGATGAGTCAATAGCATAACAGGTCTACCTTTGGTCTAAAATACCTCCATAGTTATGTATGCTGTGCTACCAGACCAAGTAATATACAGCCTACTTCCTATCCACTGTACTCAGAATTTGAGGCTATTCTGTAATAAAAGGGCACATTCAAAAGGACAAAGTATTAGACATCTGCTATGTTTGTTTCACAGCATCTATTTCACTATTTTATAGAAGTCATACCCTCATTTCTCAGTAGATATGCTTTTTCCTCCACACTCGGCCCATGAAGTCAGATGGGATGAACCCATCTCACTGCAGAAGGGTGCTTGATCATCTAGCCTAAGTCCCATCACACATCACATCCCTACAGTACATGGTCAGAAATGGGCACATGGCCAGCTAGAGCCAATGAGACAGTACTTTTTAGGATGCTTTCAGCTGAATGTACTGTAAAGAGAAAACAACAGAAGCAAAGAGTATAGGCCAAAACAAAAAACTGTAGGGCAAGAGATGAAACAGCAAAAGATCAAATTCCCTTTAAACCAGAAAACTCAATATAGAATAGTTTAATCAATAAGAATAATTTATTGTCTTACATCACAAGAAGTCCAAAGGCAGGGTGGCTCCAGAGTTGGTTAATACAGCAGTTCCTCAGTGTCATCAAAGCCCTTGGTTCTTTCCTTCTGCCTGCCATGCCATTCCCAGCACATCAGCATTGTCCTCGATCTTTGGGCTGGTTCTCCTATGGCTAGTTCTAGACCAGCTGCTGGCATCACGTCTAGACAACAACATCTAGAAGAAAAGGCCATCTTTTCCTATGTATTCCTTCTTGAGAGCAAGGAGACACTTCTCAAAAGCCTTCAGCTGACTCCCTCTTACATCTCCTTGGCCAGAAATGTGTCACATGATCTTGCCTAATCAATCATAGTCAAGAGGAAAGAGGCCACCATAGTCAAGAGTCTAAGGTGATCTAGAACTCATTGTAGGAGGTGGGGCTGAGTCTAGCCTCCCTTGAAGCAATTAATGGAGGAAGGATGGAAACTACTTGATATGAAGCAAGGTTTTGTAACCAAGCATCAGCAATGGTAACAGAGCACAGTGAGGAATTTGCAGGGGGTTCCGGGTAAAGAATATATCAGATCTCCAGGGCTGCTTCTCTTTCCCAATACACAGCAAATCCAGTTTCATGAGGCTAATTTTTCTACTGTCAAATATCTGACTTCAGTGACCCCTGTGCAAGCAAAGCTGAGAAGATACAAGTTCTCGAGCCTCTGCAGCCATCTCGTGAGTTTGATGGGGAGAGCCTGCCTGTGAATGAGCCAGCACTCATGGAGAGAAGATATTCATGAAACAAAAGCCAACAGATGTATAGAGAGAAACCGTGGGGCAGCATTTGAGCTCCACATTTAGCAGCACAGCAAGACAACTCCATCTCTGAGCTTTTCAGTTATACAAGCCAGTGAAGTCTCTTTTTTCATAAGCCACTTTGGATTGGGTTTACTGCCTGTTGCGAGAGAAGGAGTCACAACTGAAGCAAATAGCATGACATATAGGAAAGAAAGCATGTTCGTGGCACGACCCTGTGACCCAGTGCCCCTTAGTCAAAGCACTGCCATAAGGTCCTTCCAACCACTTCCAGCAGTGCTTCTGCCATTCACCTAACCTTTCTATGGTTTCAACAATTGTGGAAAAACATCTTTGGGTAACTCTGATGGGAGCATTTTAAAATGAGCACTGGAAACATTCAACATCCTGTGGGGGTGGAAAAGAGAAGAGGGTAGAAAGCTCAGTGAAGTGAGAAGCAATTTTCCACCTGTGGATGGGCAAGGTAGAGTGTAGTCAGATAAACGAATATTCCGGCACATCTATTAATCGAAGGTTTCCTTTCCCACATGAGCAAAAGATGCAATTTCCTATGTGGAAGCATGGAGAAGCCGGGCACAGTGAGAATCAAAAGAGGCTGGCAGAAGGTACAGCTCTGTGGAGCCGTCCTCAGAAGACTTGGCAGAGCCAAGATACCTTTGAGCCCTGCTTATATTCTTTGGCATTTTTCCTCAAAAGAGATCCAAGAGAATTCCAGAAATGGAGCTGTTAACCTTCAGCGCACCCTGGTGAAGTTCATAGGTGAGGTCAGAACAAACCATGTCCAAAGAGACGGAAGAGTTATTATTCTTGAATGAAAATCCATGATTGGGGAGAAACAGATGCTGAAGAGATACATGAAGATATGAAAATATATTTTAAATGAGAAAACAATGGAACTAGGACAAGGTGTAGGCCCAAGAAAGAGCAAAAAATATTAAATTCCCTTTTTTAAATGTACCATTGTAATGTTTGAATATGCCAAGTTATAAAAGCAAATGCACATGCCGTTCTAACTTTGGCCTAAACATTTGATTTTGGGGGTAAAATAAAGATGCAATACTGCCTTGAAGTCTCCGAATTGCCAAAAACAATTGTTTACATAGGATGGTGTGCTTTCAGATCATCGTTTATGCACTGCCTTCCCAGACCCTGTGAAGCTGGTGAAGCTTAATGAAACTGGAGAAGAAAAAATACACAACAGAGGGTAAAGCAAAAGAAAATAAGGTAAAACTGTTAACTCCCACCTGCCACTCCAGCTGTCAGCTGATGGACATTTGTGCCTTTGCAATTTGTCAACACAAAATGCAATTCTTTCTGGACATAGAAATCATTTTTCTTGGTTCTGTCTTAATAATCAGTTATTTGGTTTCGGTTTCGCAATCAGATTATTTTTAAAGGAGAGTTCTTGATATTGGCAGAAAGAAATCAAATTGGATTTTGTAAAAGTCAGTATAAATTTTTTCTAATTATTGTAGCTTTGGTGGATGACTTCAAGTTTAGGAGTGATGGAATGCATGAATTTTCATGCTGCCTACACATCATTTCAGTAAGGCAACCTTGCTGGATATCCCGCTCCATTTTGGATTATAAAATCTAACTCCTGGGGAATATCATTTCCCTTGGAGAGAAAAATTTAAAAGCTTCTTGGTTTCCTGAACTATTTTGATTATCTATATAGATATGGCTTATAGTATTGAAATGAGGTGGGGGAAAGTGTAGTAGTGATGAAAATGGAGAGGAGAAAGGTAGGGAGTGTTTCAATGATTTTGCCAACTAGTTTCCAGGATCTTTAACCTTAACGAAAAAAAGTGACTATATCACTTTCTAGGATCATCCTGTAATTTCAAGTTTCAGTAGGCATTTTACTGTGATGAAAAGAAATGCTTGATTTGGATTGACATATTTAAATTTATTTTTATTTGTTTATTTATTTATACTCTGTTGGCAGGCGCAATCTCGGCCCACTGCAACCTCTGCCTCCCAGGTTCAAGCAATTATCCTTCCTCAGCCTCCTGAGTAGCTGGAATTACAGATGTGCACCACCACACCTGGCTGATTTTTGTATTTTTAATAGAGATGGGGTTTCACCATGTTGGCCAGGCTGGCCTCAGACTCCTGACCTCAAGTGTTCTGCCCACCTCAACCTCCCAAAGTGCTGGGATTACAGGTGTGAGCCACTGTGCTCAGCATTATATTTAACTTTTTTTAAAAATCTTTTCAGTACCTCTCCTTACATTCACCATCATTGCCTTACACACTTCTTTTTCTCTAAGGAATTTTCTACTCTTGTTCTACAAGTTCTTTTCTGGCGGGCTTTATGCCAAGCAGACATTGGAGTTTCATCCACTCTCATTTGTTCCTTTCTTCCTTCTATTTTTCCAAAGCTTCCTTTCCTATGGTAATTACAATGAAAAACAGGAGCAAGGAGAGGGGTTTGAGGGGCCACATGGTTCTTTTGTTTAACTTTTGCTACAAGATCACCATGAGTATATTCATGAAGTCAAACCTTCATCCTGGGAGGTTCAATGTAATCTCCAACTCTTAAACCCTGAGTGCAGCAAGGGAGAACTAAACCAGTTTTGAAAACTGGACTAGTGCCTTCCCACATTGGCTCTGTGTACTAGGAAAACAAGAGAAGCCAACAGATGTGTTTATTTTATTTGTTTGGTTATTTTAATCACTTTTGTTTCAAAATATTGTTAAGAATGGTCAGAAGAGTTGAAATAAGGTAAAGATGTTTTTAAAATAAAGATTTGTTGAATATTATTGAATTGACTTTTCTTTCTTTGAGGGAAAATATAAACTATTTTAAAATATGTTTAGATAAAAATATATCTATTTGGATGTAAATAATATCTTTTTAACTGTCATCTGTTTCTCTAATATTCACTGTTAATTAGCAAGTGGCTCTTAGAGATGCTGATTTGACCACAGAATGCAAATGGTCCACAGCAATAACCAAATTTCAAGCTTTTGTTCAAAAAATCCTATGCACATTTTATCTGTACTTTCCATTTGAAAATTGAAACCATATTCATGAGGATCTGACTACCTTCAAAATCTAAACTTTTTCAAAAGTTTAAATCATACAGACTTAATAGATCATTTCTAGTTAATGATAGGTAATTTATTAAAGAAGGATTGAAGTGATTCTTAATGTCCTACTCACTTTTACTAAGAACAAAAGTCTAACACTTTCTATGTAAATGTTCATTTTAATGCACAATTTATTTAACAGTGGCTTATTTTTAAAGAATCTGAGTAATTATTATCCCATGCCAGGGTAAAATATATCATATATATGATGAATCCATCGTATATATTATAGTCTACCTTGATCATGAGAGACTTTCAAGTAGGGACAAAAAAAAAAAAACCAGAACAGAACAAAAAGACAAATGATAATGGATGCTGGTGAGGTTATGAAGAAAGAAGAACCCTCATGTACTGTTGATAGGAGTATAAATTAGTACAGCCACTGTGACTAGCAATATGGAAGTTCCTCAAAACGACTAAAAATAGAACTACCATATGATCCAGAATTCCCACAGCTGGGTATATATCCAAAAGAAAGAAAATCAGCGAATCATAGAGATGTCTGCACTCCTATGTTTATTGCAGCACCATTCACAATAGCCAAGATATGGATTCAACCATTTAGTGAATGAAAGGATGAAAAAAATGTGGCAGGAGGCTGAGGCAGGAGAATCACTTCAACCCAGGAGGCAGAAGTTGCAGTGAGCGGAGATTGTACCACTGTATACACAACAAAATATTATTCAGCCATAAAAAAGAATAAAATCCTGTCATTTATAATAACATGGATGGAACTGGAGGACATTTGTTATGTTGAGTGAAACAAGCTAGGCAAGAAAGACAAATACGGCATGTTCTCACTCATGTGGAGGCTAAAAACGTTGCTCTCATGTGAGTACAGAGTAGAGTGAGAGAGACCAGAGGCTGGGAAGAGTGTGTAGGGTGAGGGGGTAAAAACAGGTTGATTAATGGGTACAAAACTACAGTTATCACAGAAGGGATAAGATCTAGTGTTTAGTAGCACCATAGAGCACCTATAGTTAACAATAATGTGTTGTATACTAGAGAAGTCGATTTGGTATGTTTCCAACACAAAGAAATGATAAATGTTTGAGGTGATGATATCCCAGCTATCCTGATTTGATCAATATACATTGTATGCTTATGTCAAAATATCACACATATCCCATTAATGTGTACAACTATTATGTATTCATAAAAATTGAAAATAAACATATTTTTCAAAGAATATACTATTAGATATATTGATAATCATTAAATGGGGAAGACATTTTGAAACAAGACACAATAGCCAGTTGTCAACATGTCATAAAGAAAAAACTGGGTAAATTTTATTACATAAAATATTAAAACCTTAGTTTGCTAAAAAGACACTATAACATTTTTAAACCAGTGGAAGGCTGAGAAAACATTTGCAGCATAAAAAGCAAATAAAGGATTAATAAATTAATACACAAAGAGCAACCACAAGTTTTTTAATGCCATAGACTTTGACTGAATACATGTGAAGGGTAATAGAGAAAATTCAAGGTCTGACAAACATATGAAAAGGTCATCAACCTCACTAGTGATCTGAAAAATGCAAATGAGATCACCATTGTTGATGTGATTCCCCCGCCCCCCAACCCCTCACTGGCAGAAATGAAAGTTGATTAATATACATTTCACTAATAATTCAGGATAATGGCTAGCATCATATGCTAGCTGTATGGGGGACAATACAGAGTTAGCCTCTTTGGAGGGTGTTTGTCCTACAGAAATATTCACACATATACACAGTTGTATGTACAGTTTATGTAATTTAAGAAAAGGAAAAAATGTGAATAACTAAAATCCCTGACTATAAAGGAACAGATAGATAAAATCATGGGACACCAAGACAGTATTATGCTCCTGTTGCAAAGAATGCTGCTAACAAAGAACAGGTCAAACTATAGCTACTAACATGGAGAAGAGCAAGTCACAAAACATTTCTTTGACCTGAAAATTATTAATATCAATCAAGTATCTTACCTGGCCAACCTCTGCTCTAGGGCTGAGACAAATACAAGTAAAACAGACAAAATTCCTCCTTCATGAAGCTTATATTCTAGTATAAGTTTGACAATAAACAAATCAACAGATAAATATAACCCATGATGTCCAATAATCAGAAATGCAGTGGAGAAAGATAAAGGATGATGTGTCATTTCTTTTTTAGTATGCTCAGCTCTAGGAGAAAACCTGATTCGCTGATTATTAAATAAATAAGGATTTATTTACTCTGGGTATCAGAAACTCTGGTGAGAGGAAGGGGAGCTGGAGTAGACCATCAAGGATTGAAGATGCTCCTTCCAGCTTCTTGTTTTACATCCTGAGCACATGATTTTTGTCCTCTTGCCTGCAAGATGGCTGCAGTACCGTCAGGCAGTAGGTCAGCATTAAAGGCATGAAGGAGAAGGAAGAAATAACACGGGCAATGGCAGAGTTCTTTTCACGTGTCCTTAGCCAGAATGCTGTGGTATGGCTATCACTGGTTGAAAAGAAGACTGGGAAATTGTTTAGCTTTTGTGGCATCAAAAGCAGAGGCAGACAGAAAGAGGAGTTGGAAATGAAGGATGGGTCAGCCAGCTGACAATGTCTGCCACACAGGGGAAGGGGGTATAAAGTGTTCAGGACTCTAGAAAAGGCAATAAGGCAGTGACACTGAACAGAGGCCTGAGGGAAGTAGGGGAGTAGATAGACATGGAGACTTCGGCCGGAGGAAAGGGCTGGCAGTGAGGCTGGAGGCAGAAGCATGCTTTGTTGTAAGAATACAACAAAGGACTCCCATATGGTCTTTAGAAGCTGATCAGTGGTTAGCATTTTGCACATTTGCTTCATTTCTCCATCAATCTCTTTCAGCAAACATTTTGAAAACATATTTGAGCGTTAGTTGCATACATCATGACCCTTAATCCTTAAATACGTTTTATCAGTCTCCTACGTACAAGGGCATACTCTTATATAGCAATGGTATAATTATCAAACTCAGGAAATTGAATGTTGACAAGATACTACTGTCTAATACTTTGAGTTTCACTAAATGCCCCAACAATGCCCTTCATAGGACCCCTCTCTCCTTTTCGCTCTGATCTGGAATTGCATTTAATTGTCATGTGTCTTCTGTTTCCTTGTTTCCTTTAAGCTAGAGCCATTCCTCAGCCTTTCCTTGTCTTTCATGACATTAATATTTAATAATATACAGGCGAGTTTTTGTGTAGGCTTTCCCTCAATTTCTGCTTGTATAAAAATTCCCTCACAATTAAATTTACTTGCGGTTTTGGCAATAATGTTACATAAATACTGTGATCTCAATGCATACATTAGGACACCCCTGATGTGATTCTATTAATATCTCATTGTTGGTGGTATAAACTTTTAATCACTCATTTAAAATGGTTTCCCCTGCATAGGTGCATTTGCTGCTTTGCAACTAATAAATCATTTATGGAGAGATATTTTGAGACTGTGAGAATATTCAGTTTCCCCAGTAAACTTTCATTCCATGGTTCCAAGTACTTTAGATTTTAAATGACTAGAAGCCACTGAAAGGTAATA